TTTCACCTTTTGTGGCGCTGCACCAAGATTTATAGGAATTTTAAACAATAAATTACACTACTAACAAATACGTTAATTTTGTCATGTTATATACCATATAAAAGCTTATTTTGCCAGCTTTTCAACAGTATGATGCATTGTTTGTGGTTGTGGTTGAAAATGTTCGTTTTGGTTAAATTGTGTTTAAAACTATTTAACCTTCGGAACGCATAGATTTATCGAATGGCAGTTTGACTTGTTTAAAACATATGTTCACTAGGATTATAGAACAAAAGTTTGCAGTATTTCCATAGAATATTTTTTTCACAATGCCTTGTAAAAGTTTCACACTTTTAAATTGACCCGTAACTAACGCTATTGCTGATTGACAATGTGGTTACTTTTTTTCTTCTCTCGAAGCAATAAATCCACCCAACGCACTTTGAATGTGCCAGACCGGAACAATTGTCCCTGAAAATTTCAAAGGAAATGACAAAATAGTCTGGGAGCTAAATACTTTTAAAAGACCTGGTTGAAGTCAAAAATTTAGTTGCGATAATCGCCATTTTGTTTAAATTTACTACCGTATGTCAAAGTATACTATGCATCACAATAGTACTGTCTCCAGTGGTGGTGTGGTTTTTGTATGGGTGAGTGGAAATTGACAATTTGATGAGTGCCTGTCTTCCTTTGCCGATTGCTCTCATGCCCAGAATTTTCTTTCTATTAATCTTGAAATGTTTTCCATTTTGTTTGATGAAGTCATCTCCACTGCTCCACTTTGGTTGTGATAGGAACCAAGGTCTGATTCCTTCAGAAACATTCTGTTTTCCTCTAACATAGTGTCTGTCTTCTTTTTCCGGACCTGTTTTCCTTTTTACTCTGCATGGCATCTCGGGATATAAAATAGCTGATGTGTTGCATACGAACGTATGAAATCATGGAGGTAGCTCCATGGTGAAATGAAGTACACAGGAAACGAAACTGGTCTTCCCAAAACATGATTTGCATACTACTGTTAAGCTCCAGCCATCAATCAACATTAATTTATGCAAATTAAACAGTTAAAGTAAGACCGTGGCACATGCGTTTGTTTTTAATAATTTAAACCTAGTTTATAAGATGTTCTACTCACAATAGAATTTTGAAATTTTCACTCAAGAACAAGGACATTTTTCCTATAAACTATGTATTGGTATCAATATGAAAATCTCCCTTGATACTGATCTAAAAAAGTGTCCGTTTGTCACTCATGTCTTGCACATTTCTAAAAAGGGTGCATCATTGACATTAACGATTGTCAAATTACGACATTTTTTTAAATAATTAATATTTTATTGAATTACTGCCAACTGGCAAAAACAATTTAAAGGGCCTGTAAAATGGCTGTTATTTTCACACCTAAAATTATCCATTGATACATAAATATTATTAATGTTTATGTTTCTAAGCATAAATTATTTTTTTAAGTGAAAAAATGCGCTTTAAACTCAGTCTACAACAACTTTATTTTTGTGTATTTTAAAACAAGGCGCCTCATTAGCTTCTCATTTGCATACAGAAATTCCCTCTGTGACGTCAGAAGGGGAAGTTGGTGTGTAGCTTGCATTGCCGATACATATAAATAAGGCAAATTTCTTGTGCTATTTTCTCGTCTTTGACTAAATTGCCACTTATGTACTTGTTTGTGCACTGTCGCTGGACTCCGGCACTGGACAAAATCAAATTTGACGCCTGAATCATCTTGTCATTTAGCAGGTTACTAGGCACGACACTACACTGTTTTATTTCATCGATCGTCTGAGTAAAAAAACAACATTCAAAATTAAAATAAAAAGAGAACATATTTTGACATTCTAAACATGAAATTATAGTGATCAATAAAAAAACGACAAAACACAGTTAGTAAATAAATGACTGCTGCGTTGTAAGGGGTGAACGTGTCGGGTCATGACGGCGACAAGTGCGTGAATGGCGGCGTTTAATTGGATAACAAAAATAATTGAGAGCGACTGGCGTACAGACAAGCCGGTAGGCTGGTTGGTTGGCAATATGTGATATAAACGTGAAGCTAACTAAATGGGCCCCAGTCTTCTCCCCAGACTTCATGTCAAGCATCACTGCCAATTTGCATAACAATGCATCTAATTTGCATAATTTTTATTTGCATAATAATCAGTTTTTCCCAACAAATATTGTCAATCTACAATTAATTAAAGACAAGATATTTTTATATCTGATAAATTTTATATCAATTTACTGCATTGTATTTTTTGTTTTTGTATCAAGTCAAATAAAGTTTGAAATGGAACATCATAAAAAGGAAAAAAAAATTGAAAAACTTGTGTTATAGCCAGTCAGTGAATATACTGTTATCCATGGATGTAACTGGTTCATCATTGTGTATAAGTTTTAGTGCCCATGTCACTGTCGGTTCATATAAACGTCGGGGAAAACATTTTTTGGTTAAATATATAAAGTCGGCAAGATATCGAAATATGTTGAAATTAATAAATCAAT